TTGGACCCAACTCATCAGGCCTGGAGGAACGTGCCTGTTCAGCCATCTTATTAGCCCATTGACTTTACTACCACATACATCCCTCCATCCCTCCTCCCTCCCTCCCTCCCTCCCTCCCTCCCTCCCTCCATCCCTCCTCCCTCCCTCCATCCCTCCTCCCTCCCTCCATCCCTCCTCCCTCCCTCCATCCCTCCTCTCCCTAGTATTCCCTTCCTCCTCTTGTGTTTCACCCTCACCCATGCCGTGTGTGTGAGTGTGTAGGGCAAAGGTTGACACTGCGTATCATCTGTAACCCCTCTTTTCCCAGACAGGATGTGATATTTATTACTGAACATGATTTAGTAGGGTAGAGGGTAGCACCGCAGTAGAAGCCCCGAGGAGTGTGGGGCCCGCCAATGACCATGGGACCAGGATTGGTGATGCAGCTGACCCCTCGGCCATCAGGAACGAGTCACTTCTCAGCGACTGTGTCCTTCAGATCAATCTACATTCAATTTAGTGAAGCCTCACCTCTTTGAGAGAGACAGACAAAGAAGAACTCAGTGAGGAGAACCAGGGCAAGAAAGTGGGAGGAAGGGGCTTAATAACACCATTTGCCTTTGGCAGCACGGAGAGCTTGAACTTGGCTTTATGTAGGGCCTCCATCCGATGTTCCTTATTCTGAGGCATGATTCAGGTGGACGTGATGGCCTGGACAGTGAGACCCCTGGCCGTGGTGACCTGAGGCTTCCTTCCCTAGGGCACAGCGAATACCTGTCTGGGGCCAAGATTGGAGGCGACATTGAGGTCAGAGCTCGAAGAGCCTTCAGAAGATTGTTTCCAAGGTCCCTTTCGGGGAGCCCATACAGGCAACAGGGTGAGGTCACTCCAAACGAGTGTGCTGTTGGCAAGCATTGCACACCAGGCCCCAGTGAGAAGCTGCTGGCAACCATTGCACAGTGGGCCCCGCTGAGAAAGGGGACCTCCCGTGCAGCTTAGTTGGCTGCAGATTTACCTTATCTTTTAAGACACAGTCTCTCAGTGAACATGAAACTCACTGATTTTGTCAGGCGGAGTGGCCAGAGAGTTTTGCGGATGGATCCAGCACTCTGTCCTCCACGCCAGACATGCTGGCTCTAGGGTTTAAGAGTATTGCTGTGCCTGGATTTTCCGTGGGCGCTGGTGATCTGAACTCAGGTTCTCATGCTTGCACGGGAAAACCTAACCCACTGAGCCATGATCCTTGCCCATCTTTAATTTTATGGTCAGTAACATTAGTGTTAGAAATGAATGACATCTGCGGTGCCATTTCGTTCCACGTACACATGTGCATGGATGGTGTGCAGCCTCACCATACTGCTACCTTCTCCCTGCTCTCAGATGCTACATCTCACAAACCTTTCTCTCTTCTCAAGGGCTGGTATTACAGACACTCACCGTTGGCCGGAGATGTGGTATGTGTATGTAACTGTGCGTGTGTGTATGTGTCCGTGTATGTATGTGCAAATGTGTTCATTCAGGTTCCCGTGGAGGGTGTCCGACACCCCAGAGGGGGAGTTATCAGTCAGTCTTGGGACACCAGACAGGGTTCCTGGGATTTGATCTCGGGTCTTCTGGAAGAGCAACAAATGCTCTTAAACTGAGTCGTCTCCACAGCACCCTGTGCTGAGGTTTTCAAAGGTTCTGGGGATCTGAACTCAGGTCTTCATGCTAATTCAGCAAGCATTTTACCCGCTGAGCCATCTCCCCAGCTCCATGTACATATTTGTTTCATAGGCTTTGAACTCAGAAATTTTATCCGTTCCTTGTCCACACTGATGATGCATACAGAACACATTCTGTGACAGTTCTCATTATTTCACTGTGTGGCATCTACACTTTGCAAATGTGGGTCTGCCTCCGGGGGCACATTTCAGCTCCTATCACAGTGTCCCAGTCTGTGGGGAGCAGGAAGATCCTTGTGCTCACAGATCTCCTGGGAAACCAGGAACGTTAAGCATGCAGTAATGTCTTCTCAATGGAAAAGATGTGAGACCTGTTCTTCCATCCAGAAGGCTGGGGATTGGAGGTGATTAATAGCCTGGTGATCTTCACTATCTGTCGGACCAGGCCATATCAAGCTCCTACAACCAGGACCGGAAGGCAGATAGTAATCTAAATGGCTCCTATGAGCAGGGGCTTCCTATACTCCACAACCAGGACCGGGGATACCTAAGAGTCTAAATGACTCTAACATACTTTGTACAGCCAGTGGCTCCCCCAAGCTCCCACAACAATTACCAAAGATACCAAATAGCCCAGATGATGAGTTCAGATCCCCAGAACCTTTGGAAACCTCAGCACAGGGTGGTGTAGAGACGGCTCGGTGTTTAAGAGCACTTGTTGCTCTTCCAGAAGACCCGAGTTCAAATCCCAGGAACCCTGTCAGGTGACTGATAACTCCCCCTCTGGGGGGTTTGACACCCTCCTTGGGAACCTGAACGAACATATTTGCACATACATACATATACACATACATACACATGCACAGATACATACACATACCACATCTAAGGCCAATGGTGAATGTCTATAACACCAGCACTGAAGAAGAGAGACAGGATAGAATCCTGGCACTCAATGGCCTAACGCTCTAGACCAATCAATGAGCCCCATGGTCACAGCGTTACCCTGTGTCAAAATAAGTTAGGTGCCTGGAGTATGTCTGGCTTCCACATGCAAAATCACATCTGCCGGCATATGCACATGCAGTTGTGAACACACGCACACATGCATGCACATGCATTCACGCACATGAGTTCTACATACATGTGATGTGGGAATCCCCTCTGTATGCTCTGAATAGGTTTAATACCGTTGGTTAATAAAGAAGCTTCTTTGGTCAATGACAGGGCAGAATAAAGTTAGGTGAATGCAGGGAGAAAGACGGCAGAGTCAGGCAGATGCCATGCACCTGCCGAAGGAGAAAGACACCGGAAACTTACCTGTAAGCCACAGCCTCGTGGTGATAAACAGATGAGTAGAAATGGGTTAATTTAGGATGTAAGACATAGCTAGGAATGTGCCTGGGCTGTCGGCAAAACTGTGTTGTAATTAATAAAGTTTTTGTTGTGAATATTTGGGTCTGATTGGCCAGGAAATGAACATGAAGTCTCCACTTACACATATGATCACATAAACATACGTACCACATACCAAAAGATCTGCACACTCTCACACACACATATCCACACATGTGTGCTACACATATGAACACATATATATGAACCACATATCAAAAGATTTACACTTGCAAACATACACAGAGGTGGACACATGCATTCAAAAGCAAGTGTGTCTACACATAGAACACATATATATGAAGCACATACCAAATGATTTACACACATCTGCAAACACGCAGAGATGCACACATGCACTCACACACAGGTGTGCCTACACATATGAACACATTTACACATGTACTGCATACTAAAAGATTTATGCATAAACCTGCATACACCATACACGTGTATTCACACACACATGTGCTACACATAGGAACACATTTACACATGTACCACATACCAAAATATTCTCTCTCTCTCCCTCTCCATCCCTCTCTGTCTCTTTCTGTTTCTCTGTCTCTCTCTTTCTCTCATACACACAGGAGTACACACTAGAATAATACAAGATTCAATGATAGGGTAATAGATTTTTCATCTACTACTGATAGAATATCTCAAGTAGGAGATATTCAGTGCTGGAAGCATTACTGAAGGTCCATACAATCACAGATATTTTGAACAAAGGGGGAAGTTCCCCTAGATAATTCACAGTTTAGGAAGTACCATGATTCTGGCCAGAGGGGAAGTTCTCTCATTGACTGTGGAGAAATGAATTCTGCTTGTAGAAAATGAGAGATGCCGAACGCACACTTGTTTTTAATGCTTCTGCACCACAGGACACAATGAGACAAGTGGTCAGGACGAGGAGAGGCCCCATGCAGAAACGTGAGTTAGCATAGGACCATTTTTGTTTAAAAAGGCATGAAACGTTGGGAAGGGAGCGCAATTACATGACTCATACCAGCAAGTCTGAAACAATTCCATATTTATGAAACCAAATGTTTCCAAGTAATGATTTCCCATGGAATATGTATATATATATATATATATGTGTGTGTGTGTGTGTGTGTGTGTGTGTGTGTGTGTGTGTGTGTGTATGAAGGAAACCACAGGATAAGAGTCTTAAGTGTACAGAAGACCTTGTCTATCACTGATGTTCACATACTACGTGAACAATAATTTTGAAACACAAAACATTCTCAGTTACCGCTATCCATACAAAGGAGGAAATACATAAACCACGAGGAAGTGAGCTTAGGCATACTAAGGATCAACTCTTAATGTGACAGGCAGTTGACATCAGGTAGCAGACCACATTGCATTGAAAGACCTTATAAATTTTGTCGGGAAGTGACATTTTCACATACTCGTCACAATACTTACATCTTTTTTTCTTCAGGAGTTTTAATGAATTCTACCAATTTCACTACTTCTGGGGCACAGTCTTTTCAAGTCTACAGGACGCATTCTCTTTGCAGGGTTATCGTCATTCCCATAGGCTCCATGACTGAACAAATGTAACAGCAGTATGCAATGGCAAGAGTGTGCCTCCTTTAACTATTTCTCTGAAGATGACGAGGATGGACCACTCTTGTGCCTTCTAATTTGGTCAAGTTATACTGAGGTACAAGACCCCACTGTATCGACACCAATGCACTGCTAACCATTAATTACGACGCTACCAAGAAAAACTTGCCATTACGACCCGTGGGCTGGAGGATGCTATAGACATTTCTGGACTGCTGTCACACAAATCCTTCGGTTTACTTGGGTTTTAGCAGAAAGGGGTATCTTTAGGAACAGGAGAACACAAGAAGACGTAGTCACTGAAGCCGCAAACCACAAGCAGCTTCTCTCAGAGAATTTCCATGAGAGAATCGCTCCCCTTGTATCGACTTTCATTTCTTCAGAGTATTATGAGAATAACAGATCCAGGAGAGACAGTTGACCAGCAGCATTCTCTTTCTGGCACTGTGAAGCACAAGGACATATTAAACGGACATAATAAACAGTGCTCATCAAGCCTCAGTTTGCCCTGAAAGGCTCAGTACTTACATTCAGCATCAGAAGTTTTATTTTCAAGGTGGCTATTAGACGTCTCAGCTCTTCAATGAGGGAATCTCCCCGAGAATCCCTCAGTATTACAAGTTTCTAAAGTGAAAGAGACATGGGCAGAAATCAGCCCTGGTCATTTTGTTTACAAATGCGAACAGCAATATTTAAAAGGGACTAGATGTGGTGAAAAGACATGGTTTCATTATTCCAAAACAAGCATACAGCATGTGCGACATGGAGATCCATCACCCACCAAAGAAACACAGGCGTTACCACTCCACAACCCACTGCTGAAAGTTCAACCTTGTGGCATTAGTGGGGGGGGGCTCAGGGGAAGGGTGCTTTGCCTACCTAGCATGTGGGAGAGCCCAGGGTCCCACTCCCCACAAATCAAGAATGAAACCCAATGAAAACAGAGAGCACGAGGCATGAGCTCATTGACTGCCACTCACTCATTTCTTTGGGAGCTGGAGTAGCTTGTCGTGTACCACTGAACACCATGAAATTAAAACTCAAGGTTTCCACCCCCACAGTGCCTTCAGTAGTGTGTGAAATAGCACATGCTACATCTAAATGCTTGTGTGAAATGCTGTGGGGGGGGGCTTATAAAACTTCCCAAGACCTCTTCCCTTGGGCACGCCACCCCTGTGACCTGGTGAACAGCCAGCCCAGCCACAGGGGCAAGCGAGTTGCAGGTTCAGTGAGCCATCCTGTCTCAAAAAGATACGAAGGAGAGTTACTGAAGATACACACGGCTGGCTTATGACCTTCACACACACACCCAGAGGAACGTACACGTGCGTGTGCCTCAGTGCACATACACACCCAAGGGAAAATGCACTGTGAGACAAGAACAGACAGTCTGAAAGGCATCAATGCCCTGTACAATACGAACAACTCTGGATGAAATCGCCAAGACAGCAATTCCTCCTTCAAAGGACTCTACCCACCGTTATGTGAACTCTAAAAGTAAAAACTTATTTTGTACTTAGGTTTACATGGAACCTTGACACCATGAGGAAAATGCTGGAAGATGCTCTGGTACCATGGTCTTGCACTGTTTCAGTAAAACCCTGACTGGCCAGTAGCCAGGCAGGAAGTAGAGGCAGGGCCAAGAGAACAGGAGAATTCCAGGAAGAGAAAAGGGTCAATCTTCAGTTGTAACCCAGTCCAAAAGGAAACAAGATGAGAATGCCTCGCTGATAAAAGGTCCCAAGCCATGTGGCTAACACAGACAAGAATTGTGGGTTGAGATGTAAGATATGAGAGTTAATGAGAAGACTGAGCCAATAGGCCAAACAGTTTATAAATAAAATGTAGGCCTCTGTGTGCTTCTTTGGGAATGAATGACTGCGGGACCAGGCGGGACAGAAACCTCTGTTGACAGGAAGATGTTTACAGCTAACTTTCCTAAGGAATAATCCAAAGCTTGGAAGGAACGCCAGAGTATTCAATGTCCCTGTGTGTGGATTGCTTTCAGAATGTACAACAGACCTCCAAATACTGTTCACACAGATCTTTAAATTCTTCCATCCTCTTCTTCTGAATACCCAGAAACTGATGAATAAATTTTTGCTGCTCCTTGAAGATATTCTGTGACACAGACAGTAAAAGATGTAAGAACAATACAGGAAAACTCAGAAATATTACAAAAACGCGACTCTGTATCATATTTATGCAAAACATATACAAGGAAATCACTAGTAATTTTTCAAGCACAATGACCACTTCACACGAGTTATCTAATACTAAAAAATTACCATAGTGATGAGAATCTCATTCATTTAATGGAACGTTTTCCTATGTAACTGTAGCAGCGTAAATAAATGCAGGCAGATTGTAAAGAATATATACAGCTTTAATGAAGAAATAAACTTACAGGACCAAGGTTCCCACGGAGCACAGGAAGCAGAAGGGGCGCACGGATTCCCGAGCGCCCGATTTATAAGTAAACATTCGCCCGAGGCAAGCCCGCCCCCTAAGGGGCTGGCTTAACACTACATCTCCCCCTTTTGTCTAAATAAGACAGAACTAAACCAAATACAACTATAAACAATAATAACAAATGATAAATATAACAAACAATATTGAGAACAAAAGTTTTGCTATACATTCTATCTCAAGGAGTCTAAATAATGTAGAGAGTAACTACAATTATATAATCTTCAACTGCATCAAAGATCTGAGAAGGGAATTAATATTACTTAAAAAATGAGAGATATCCGAAATGTGCAACAAATGACAGAGACAACTGACTACCTGGGCAAACACCCAAAGTCTCGTTTGCAATGTTGAGTCAACCAACTTTGGCTAAGGCCTAACATAGCTAACATACCATTATTAAAGGCAAGGAACTTTCTTAGAACCATCTTACCCTGTCTTGGCAGGATAAGACAATCCTGTTTCATCCACTTAGGGATATTCTATATCTTTGTCAGTAGTTGAGGTATGGGCTTTTCTTAACCCAAAGGCCAGTTCTGCCAAGAAGACAAGCTCCCAGTGGAGTGTCTTTGATGCTCAACGTTCTCTCGGGAGTAGAGTGGCATTACAAGGAGTAATTGTGTCTCATTGGCACAGAATTCTCGATTAGATTAAAGGCCATTTTCTACAGCTCTTCGAAGAGGCTGAAGATTATACTATCTATACTAAATATAATCTCTATGTATCTAAAATACCTGATTAACCTAAAAATAAATATGGCAAGCATATAATTCTCAATACCTATCTAACTTGAAGACTAAAATAATAAACAACTGTGCAATATATGAAGACAATGATCTTCAACTGTAAACAATGTCATTACATATCAAATGTAAACAATGTTATTACATAAATAGGATCAGAGGTAGAAATGTACATTGTGATATGGTAGATGTATCAATACAATATAAGCATACTCTTATACAAAAATAGAGGTAGGCACACTCACATTCAATATTCAATATAACAATGTACAAGAAACAGTACCAATATAATTTTCTAAAAACAGTAAATCACAAATACCAATCATCCCATTAAACCAGTTAATCCCCCCCCCTTTTTTTGAAAATACCCCTAATTCCATAAAGTATCTCCCCATCCCCTCAACCCTAAATCAACCACTAAAAGATGTCCCTAATCCTGCGGGCAAACTCTGTTGGTAGGGGGGACGTCGTCCTCTTAGATTGCTTCTAGCTGACATGGGGGCGACGTTCTCCTTAGGGGACCCTGTGAAAGAAAATGATGGTAAAATTCCCCAAATAACCTTTGACCTAAGAAAATTATAACTAGTCTCTGAGCGTTTTGAGAAGGTCCAGCCAGAGTGTTGTCAAAAATGTGCACCATTCAAAATTGTCTCATGCAGTTGGCACCAAAAAACAGGTCTAATATTAGTGCTTAAAGATATTCATGACGTCATAAAAACCAGATTGAGTTGATGCTGTGGGGCCCCATCTTCATCCTGGAAACTTCAAATATTACTGTAGAAAAATTTGTTGCTTGTTATGGGAAGTTTAAACATTAACAATAAAGACATATACTGACATATAAAGAAAGACACAGATATGAGGAAAGGCAAAGAAAGTTTATCAAGTATACAATTATTCTTATTCTGTCCCATTTCATGGCTCCTGAACTGAGACAGAAACTCTGAAATATCTCTTATCAACAGGCTTGGAATTGAAGAGGGACTGAGCCATAGTACAACTCCAGAACCAGCTCTACATATTCATAAAGAAGTGTTCGATAAAACATATATAAATACAAAAATCAATACTTACAGAATATGTAGAATTTTACTGTTGATCCTTAGTGGGTCGTAACTAGTTTCCATCCATCAGTAATTAAATATTCAGGGTCCCTTAAATTCTTTGAAGATGAGTATTTTCCTGTGGAGATAAGAAAAGGACCCTGCCCCCAACCTAACTGTATTTCTTACCATCAACATGTTCGCCATCCTTGTGAATTAATTGTTATTTATCTTTTCCACGTGGCTTCTCTTCTTCAAACCGAACCTTTATTAATTTTGACGGTATCCACAATTTTTCCTCACCTGTTGAGATAAGGGCAAAACCCCTTTCCCAACGCAGCACATCTCCTGGCTTCCATTGTGAGGTCAGCACATCCTTGAAATAAACTGGTTGATTTAGTTCAGTAGACTTTTCCATTATCCAATGTCTTTCTGCAGCCGTTGTTCCCTTCTCATTAGCATTGAGAAAATTCAAGGTTAACAAAGCATTATGTAACCTATTTCTGGGGGTGTTTTCCAGCCCTTTCTGTTTGTTCAACATATCCTTTATAGTTCAATTTGATCTTTCTATGACTGCTTGACCTGTAGGATTGTATGGTATACCTGTAACATGCTTGATATTGTAATAATCAAAAAACCGTTTCATTTTCCTAGAGACATAAGCAGGACCATTATCTGTCTTTATTTGTGTAGGTATACCCATGATAGTCATGACTTCTAATAAATGAGTGATTACTGAATCAGCTTTTTCTGAACTTAAAGCAGTTGCCCACTGAAAGACTGAATAAGTGTCAATGGTGTGATGAACAATGAACATACTTCATTTGCCAAATTCTGCAAAGTGGAACACATCCATCTGCCAGATTTCATTCCTATGGGTGCCCTTCGGATTATCCCCTGCTGGCAGTGGCGTTTGGTTATAGAAAGAGCAAGTAGGGCATTTCTTTACAATCTCCTTAGCTTGTTGCCATGTAATAGAAAACGCTTTCTTCAAACCTTTGCTATTAACATGATGTTTTTTATGAAATTCAGAGGCTTGTAGCATACTACCAATCAATAATTGATCAATTTCTGCATTGCCTTGTGCTAGAGGACCTGGCAAACACATATGGGATAGGATGTGTGTTATGTCCATAGGGCAAAGCCTGTTCCTGATCAAATCTTGTACCTGGATAAACAATGAGGGTAGTTCTGTATCATCAGGTATAAATTCAGCAGTTTCAATATGTAAAATAACTCTTTCTGTGTATTGTGAATCATTTATTATATTAATAGGTTCTTTAAAATCTCTTAGTACCATAAGAATGGCATATAATTCTGCCTTCTGGACAGAATCATAAGGACTTTGTTCCACCTTACCTAAGTCTTCTGATTTGTAATCTGCCTTCCCTGATTTATTGGCATCAGTATAGAATGTACAGGCTCCTGTTATTGGAGCATCACGGACGATTCGAGGAAGGATCCAAGAAGTTCTCTTTATGAAGTTAAGCCTCTTGCTTTTTGGATAGTTGCTATTAATGTCTCCCAAAAAATTAGCACAAGCTCTTTGCCATGGTTCATTATCTTCCCATAATTTCTTTAGTTCATCAGCAGTGAAAGGCACTATAATTTCTTCTGGGTCTATGCCTGCTCATTGACGAAGTCTCAGCTTGCCTTTTATAATTAACTCAGAGACTTTTTCCACATAAGTTTTCAGTTTCTTACTTGGTTTATGTGGTAAAAAGAACCATTCCAAGATAATATCATCTCTCTGCATTAAAATTCCTGTAGGAGAAATTTTTTATGGTAATATGAAGAGAATATAATCGAGCTCTGGATTCACTCTGTCCACATGTGCCTGTTGTAATTTCTCCTCAATCATTGTCAGTTCCTTTTCTGCTTCAGCTGGTAATTATCTGGGACAGTTTCAATCTTTATCACCATCCAAGGTTGTGTTCAAATAAATTTTTAGATCATGTGCTATCCCAATAGCTGGTCGTAGACTGGAATTGTCTCCTAACAGTCTTTGAAAGTCATTAAGAGTCTGTAGGCAATCTCTCCTAATTTGTGCCTTTTGTGCCTTAATTTTTTGCAAACCTATTCTATAACCTGGATAATTAACAGAATCTCCCTTCTGAATCTTTTCAGGAGCAATTTGCAATCCCCATTTAGGTAAAAGTATCTTTATTTCTTCAAACAATCTGTTCAAGGTATCCATGTTTGAGTCGGATAACAAAATGTTGTCCATGTAATGATATATTATCGATTTGGGAAATTTCTTGCAGATCATTTGCAATGGTTGATTCACAAAATATTGGCATAAGGAGGGGCTATTTAAAATACCCTGGGGGAGGACGGCCCAGTGGTACCTCCTGGAAGGTGGAGAATTGTTGTAAGTATGCACCGTGAAGGCAAATTTTTCTCTATCTTCTTTTTGTAAAGGTATAGTGAAAAAACAATCCTTTAAATCAATAACTATGAGAGGCCATCCTTTTGGTAATAAAGAAGGCAAAGGGATTCCAGATTGCAGATGGCCCATAGGTTAAATAACCATGTCGATAGCTCTGAGATCTGTCACCATTTTCCATTTACCTGATTTTTTCTTAACCACAAATACAGGAGAATTCCAAGGGCTGGTAGATTCTATATGTCCAGCATCTAATTGCTCTTGTATCCGCTGTTCTTTATATATATATATATATATATATATATATATATATATACATATATATATTTTATTGAGAAAAGGAAGAAAAAAACAAGTTTCCACCTCCTCCCAGGCTCCCATTTCCCTCCCCCTCCTCCCACCCTTCTCCCCCTCCTCCCATCCGTCTCTCCCTCCTCCCACTCCTCTCCCCCTCCCTCTCCAGTCCAAAGAGCAGTCAGGGTTCCCTGCCCTGTGGTAACAGAAGCACAATTCTTAGTTAAGGGAGCCACCTTAGGGTTGGCAAGAGACTTGAACCTAGAGTGGCTCCCAGGAGCCCAAGCCGAGGTCCCCAGTTAGTTCCTTGGGCAGCTGAGGATAGGGAACCAGAAATGACCCTAGCCTATGGCAATACCGACGAATATCTTGCATATCATCATAGAACCTTCATCTGGTGATGGATGGAGATAGAGACAGAGACCCACACTGGAGCACTGGACTGAGCTCCCAAGGTCCCAATGAGGAGCAGAAGGAGAGAGAACATGGGCAAAGAAGTCAGGATCACGAGGGGTGCACCCACTCATTGAGACAGTGGAGCTGATCTACTGGGAGCTCACCAAGGCCAGCTGGACTGTGACTGAAAAAGCATGGGATAAAACTGGACTCTCTGTATCAGCTGTTCTAAAGCCATTAACTTTTCCTCAGCTAGAGGCCATTGCTTTGTCCATATTGGTTTCTCAGTCAACCATTTTGGAGGCAAGGCTGTTGGTATCTCTGAAGGGACATCAATTGCTTGTTCTTGTACAGCCTGAATGGCCGGTTTTCTCCGTTTGTAATATCTTTTAATATTATTCTCAGAAATATAGGCTCTAGAAGTAGCAGGAATGCTAATTTTAGTATTCCATTGTTGTAATAGGTCACGACCCCATAAATTCATTGCGATACTGGCTACATATGGCCTTAATTTTCCTATTTGTCCCTCTGTCCCTATACATTCAACCCACCTCGTACTCTGCCTTTCTCGACATAGGGTTCCAATTCCCAGGAGCTGAATATTTACATTCTAAAGAGGCCAATATGGATGCCAAGATTCTGGGGTAATGATACTTACATCAGCACCATTGTCCAGCAGGCCAGTAATAAAAATGCCATTCACGCACACTCTCAGCTTAGGTCTTTGATCATTTATAGAAGTATGCCATAACACACATAACTCAGCTTTTTGATCATTATTGTTTGTAACAGCCGGCATGGGGCTTCCTAATTGTCCTGACGAGGCACGTTCTCTGTAGAAACTGGAAATGACTGAACCATGTTTGCCATGGGGGCCTGTGAGGCCGGTCTCTCACGTTTCCCGTCTGTATCAGGTTGCCTTGTCTATCTCTTGTAGACCTGCATTCATTCGTCCAATGTCTGCCTTTTCCACATCTTCTACATAAACCTGAAGGCTGAGTCCTCCTATTTCTGTTATTTCTAGAAGATGCATTATTATTATTTCTGAAAATCGTTGTTTACAATTCCTTTTCAAATGACACATTTTGCCACAATTAAAACATTTGGTATTCTGGTGTCTCCTTTTACCATTGGAAATTGCTTCTTCTACCCATGCTTCAGTGCCATAGTCAAATGTACCAACATTCAGTGTATGCAAGACCCATTCTTCTAAGGGCGCTTATTTGAGCTTTAAATGCCCCAAAATCTTTTTGCATTCCACATTTGCATTTTCATAAGCCAAAGACTCAATCATTATACGTCTTGCTTCTGGGTCAGATATCCCTATTTGTACAACCTTAGTTAGTCTTTGTAAAAAGTCACTAAAGGGTTCTCTCTGACCCTGTTTAACTCTGACAAATGATTCCATTCTCAGTCCTGGGTCTTGTACCCTGTCCCAAGCCCCGAAGGCTGCTGTAGTACACACTGAGAGTGTGTTTTCATCCGAATTAGCTTGTTCCTGAGGGTCGGAATAAAGCCTTCCACCTAGAATTTTATTTAGGGAAATGTCAATTCCCTTCACTTTTCCTGCTGTTCTAAAAGTCTAGCCTCTTGACTGAATAAACATTTCCATTTCAATTGTGGGCCACTCTCAAGGACCGCAGAGCTCAGCTGAAGCCAATCCGAGGGGGTTGCTCTGCTTGTTGTGGCCCAAGATTTTAGCCTCTCTTTAACAAAAGAGGCGTTCATCCCAAAAGTCATGACAGCATGTTTAATTTCTTTGAGATCACTCATACAGACAGGCTCCCATGTATCTTCCTTGATGACCCTAGAGTTTCTGGAACCAATCACCTTCTCTGTTGTTATTACTGGAAAGGCAGGTAGATCTGTAGGTAGAGCTTTGTGGAAATTGTCCCGGAGGGATTTACCCACAGATGTAGTTAAAATTTGCCTTTTTACCCTTTGCTCTTCTTCATCAGAATTTAAAAATTCCTCAATCTTTTCAATTCTATTCACCATTGCCTTCTGCAATGTCTGAATCTCCTGTCCAGAATTATGTTCCAAAGCCTTCATTGAGGCTTCTAAAGTATGAAGTTTGTCCATTAGTGATAACTTCTCATCTTTGGACATAATTTTTATGTCATAAACCGTGCCTTCTTTTATTGACAATCTTGCCGCCAATCTGTCATAAGCTTTAGACAAAATTCGATTGTCACATTCAGCAGTTTTGATTCTCTCAGTTAATGTTTCAGTTCCTACAGAAAGGGACTGCTGAAGTTTACGATCCAAATCAGCTGTACCTTCTTCCATAGTAATGAATTTCTCCTTAACATCAGCCTGTACCTTTTCTAAATTTTGCTCAGTTAACTGAGTCATGTTAAACAAAGATCTGTTCTCTTCCTGGAGAACTTCAAACTGATTCTTGAGAAGATTGTTGTCGTTCTCAATAGTTTTTAAACATTCAACCTCTGCCTGGATTCGTCTCTTAAAGACTTTATCACATTTATATTATCAAACCTTATAGTACCAAGGAAAACTACGAATCCCAGAAATATCCATAGATGCGGGGTGATAGATACCTCTTGTAAAATCTCCCACATGGTACACTCAAAAAGGCTGTTAAAATCTTGAATAGTAACGTTCTCAGACATTTTATTTATAAAAGAAAATTTTTTTTTTACCTGCAATGACCGGTTCCTGCCAGTGGTGGCGAAAGAGTCCACTTGAGTCCACGTGGCCTAAGTCTGAAATAAGTGACTCAAAAACAAAAGTTGGAGCAGACACCAGGCTGAGAAAGAGCAATTGGGGTGGAAGGGGAAGAGAGAGAAAGCCGCCAAAGTGAACAAGTCAAAGGGACGCATGGCGCAGCGCCGGCTTGCAGGGACTGCAGGGCCTCCCTGCTGCCATCAAGTGACAGGAGCGCTGGGCAGAGGTGGGAGGGGAACAGAGCAGCACTGTGTACTGATGACGCTGTTACAGATGCACTTGTACCACTGTCGGGCAGGGTGGGGCGCACAGACTCGTGGTGCGAGGCCAAATCCAAAGCTGGGGCTAAGTCTCCCGTCCTGTTTGCCAACCTGTGATTCAGAATCTCAGCTGCTTCTAGGAGCAGTGCTGAGAGGGTACAATCTGCGTGAAGAGAGAGACCTCCAGAGGGGATGGTGCCGCTGGCTACCTGCGGTTGCCCCCAGGTGCCCCCGATTCAGAGCGGGTATTCGTAAAGCCTCACTGGGCTCCACAAATGTAGCGGCATAAATAAATGCAGGCAGATTGTAAAGAATATATACAGCTTTAATGAAGAAATAAACTTACAGGACCAAGGTATGCGAGGAGCACAGGAAGCAGAAGGGGTGCGACGGGTCCCCATGCGCCCGATTTATAAGTAAACATTCGCCCGAGGCAAGCCCGCCTCCTAAGGGGCTGGCTTAACCCTACGCGTAACAGTATCTAAAACATTGCTGTTAGTTTCTGAAGACTTGAAAACCCATCCATTAGAGGCTGTCATAGCTGGTGAACCCTCTGTGTTTATAGAAATCTCCCTGAGATGGCCCCAGTGTCTCTCACTCCCTACATAGGAACCCACTCCCTTTTGTTCTTGCCAGTAAGAGTAGAGTCCAAAGCTGGCCTGCTTAACAGGCAAGGATTCTGTAAGACTTACGTCGGATACTGTCCTGGACCAATGTAAGAATGCACATCTAAGAGTCTTTTGAAACCAATTCTGTGAGATGGGGACCTTAAGTATCTCTCCTCTCACACCTAGCAATCTGAGACACAGAGGTAAATTATTTTCCCCAGTGAGCGTGACTAGCAAGGGACTGAACCATGACTGCGTTCCAACTGGTGGGATTACAGAATGCAGGGGCCATACTTCTGCCCACTGGACTGGACGGGGGTAGGGGTCCCCTCCATCTCCCTCCACATCCCAGCCTCGGCCTCCCCACCTTTGGACGTCAGAATCTCCAGGAGGGCAGCTCCATCCTACACCAGGAAGGAAGATTCCCTCAAAGATGGCACTGTTCGGTGTCAGGCATTTATTTGTGCCCCAAAACTCATAAAAACCTCACTCAAATCTCCAGGTTAAAGGAGAGTCAGTCATCCCATGGCCATCACAAATTGAAGCCTTGCCTTCCTCACCTCTGGGAGTGGGCTGGTCTGAACTCCAAGCACTGAAGGCTAAGCCTCCACCTGCTCTGCCGCAGCCACAGGGACTGCTCTCACTCTGCCTGCCTCTTCACTGTGTCAGAAGGCTCTGGTGGGCCTCCTGCTCCTGGTGTCTGCACTTCTTGGGTGAATCAGAAAGGGCTCCCTCTTAAGATACAATCCCATACCTTCTCCTGCACTCTCCAGGCAGTGCCTGCTCACCCGCCCACCCCCCCCCCCCACCTTGATGGCTGCTAACCATCACTGACCTTGTCATCTCTCTGCGTGTAAAGGAACAAACCAGGGGGAAACAGTCAGTGGCCAGTCTCTTGTCACCACATCTACCACCCTGCTTGCCTCCCTAAGTTCTTGTCTCGTCCCTTCCCTCCAGACTTGCTGCAGGAAGCCCTGCTACTTCTGATGCTGACACAATGGATTCCTTGAAAGCTAAGCTGCTTGACACTCACAGTGAGTTTTTTTTTTTTTTTTTTTGCATGTTTCTTGACTTCAGCTGCATCCTCGGATATCTTTCTTTTCAAAGTCTTCATCTGAAGAGAATATTCTTGATAAAGTTTCTGCCTGTGAATGATATAGCAAGGAACAGTGTGATACTCCATCCCAATAGGAAGAAAGTACATTCGAAGCACGACTGACTTGCCCTCACTAACGCTATTGGTGGAGGATGGGGAAATGGCCTCTAAACTATGCAGACAGGGAAAAGGAAGCTGATTGGATTATTTCATTCTACATCACAGCATTTGCTCCTCCCTGCTGAGAGAGAAGTACCTTCCCACGCCTTTGTGCCAGAAAGCTCAGGAAGAACTATTGTTTTACTATCATTCCACAAATATTCATCTGTCTGACAGACACAACTTGTGGTTAGTTCTCTCTTTCTGAAGAACAGGTCCAAATAGCATGCACATTCGCTCCCATCAGAGAATTCTGTGGTGGCCTACCCGCTTGCTCTTCCTCACGCTGTGCCAGTGTGAATCTCGGTACAGTAGCATAGAGAACACTGCTCCTGATAGCTATACGGCTTTGGACGCATGGGATTTTCATTTCTATGGCACCGAACAGAGGCTCAACTGACTGTGGGATGAATGCTTTGAGGATTTCAAGCTCCAGGTGCCCAGCACGTTCACGTGATGCATCCTGTTCCACTGACTCAACAGCAATGTGTCAAAACGGTCATCGTAATTCATGCCTAGGAAATGCAGCTGACTTCGGTGATGATGTGAGGCTATAACATGCCTAAAGAAGTCTACCCTATACACAAATGCCAAGCCAAACACGTTATCCAACTGAGCTTCTGGCCCGTGGGGGTCACGGCTATTCCTCAACCTCTAGCCATCGTGCTTACTAACCAAATGTCAAAGCGTCTGGGATAACAGCACCAAGAAGCAACAACCGTACCTATGCTCGCCCTGGATTTTTAGAATATCCTCAAATTTCAGCTCCAAGGTTTGGAAAGACTCCGTGATGATCGCTGTGAATCTTTCGCTGTTGCCCTGAAGACAGTTCTTATTGGGCTCTGCATAGAAACACATTCTTGAAACCATTACTGTAAAGTTCCGTCAACTTTAGTTTTCTACTTAGAAAACCACTTGCTATTAATAGAGGGAAACAATCTGTCAATGGCAAGAATATCTGCCTCCTTTCTTTCAGTCAAGAATTTCAGTATTTATGACCTTGATGTGAGATTGGAGAGCTGGACTTCAGTGTCTATATATTACAGACAAAACACAGTGAAGGGAACTTAGCAAAACTGGCAAGAAAGGGTTTCAAATCGCTGTGTAATTTCCTCATGGGGCATCATTAAAAGGTAAAATTCAATCAATGTACATATTTATGCTCCAGTTCAAGGACACATTCTGAGGGACTGTTGGGCCGCTTTGTGCAAAACACAACAGTAGTCCGTTTACAAAGATCTCCAAAGGCTCAGAGATTATTGCACAGTCAGATGAAAATACTGTAACTATTGTAGCCATTGGAGCTTTTAGGCAAATTTGACAGGGTAGACACCCTGAATATTCTAACGGGGGAACCACACTGATCGATAAGTCTGTGGTACTGGGGATGGAACCCAGAGCCTTAAGCATAGAAGGCGAGTGCTCTCCCACTCAGCTACCTCCCTATCCTGATTCCTGAAGTTTCCAGAATCGATTCTCTGTCAGAAACCTCTACAGAGCTCCTAGAACGTTCTCAGATTGTAATGTTTTTTTTTTAACTGTTTGTGTGACTGACTTCTGACAGAGAAATTTAAAGCAGGACTCAGTCTGCGCATACAATGGTCCCAGTGCTTACTTCAGCTCCCCACTGCATGTGCCATTCTTTACACATTAAACAGTGGTCAGGTATTTAAGGGAGGCTGGCCACCACCCCTACTCACACACACGCAATGCACACGCACATACGCACAAACACACAGGGAGAGAGAGAGAGAGAGAGAGAGAGAGAGAGAGAGAGAGAGAGAGAGAGAGAGAGAGAGAGAGAGAGAGAGAGGAGACAGAGAGCTGGACTAAAATACAAACAAGTAAAGTAATATGTGGTATTTTGTTTGGATTGTTTTTCGAGACAGGATTTCTCTGTGTAGCTTTGGTGCCTGTCATGGAACTAGCTCTTGTAGACCAGGCTGGGCTCGAATTCACCGAGATCTGCCTCTCTCTGCCTCCCAAGTGCTGGAATTAAAGGCATGTGCCACCACTGGCTGGCTTCAAATGTGATATTAGAAACAGACATATCACTTGTGCGAATCAAAACCTTGAAGACAGATAATTACATCTAATTTTCAAAGATCCCACTGTTAGTAAGTAACAGCATCCACACCACAGGTGTCATGTTCTCAATATTGGCAATTAACGTGAAGTAGAGAGTTGGTAATCTAATAAATACTATTTGACACTGTTTGAGAACAAGGCAGTAAACACACTCTCTTGTCTGCCAAGCGATACCTCCCTCGCCTTGCACTTCTTTGGTTGAAACAATTTTCTCAAATTCCTGATATCTCCTAGAATGTACCTTCAAATTCTTCAAATAAATTCTGTATTTTCTTCCTGCAAAGAAATTACCTTTTTACTTCGATGTACATAAAAGGCCATTCTTGTAGTGAGTGGAAGAAGTGGAGGGTGCCACACAGCCTACATACAATTCACATTTCAAGAACAGGCCACCTTATTCCTGTCAGACAGGCTCTATGACAGGACCCGTACTTTGTTGGAGGCATGAGATTTTCATTCCTTACCACATTGAACATCTGATCTACTGTAGGATGCTGCTTTGAGATCCTTAAGCTCAATGCACCCAAGTACATCCACGTGGTGCATGCGCCTTAGTTGCTGCATTTACTTACTTACTTACTATCTCCGTTTATTCTGTTAGTCTGGCAATCAGCAAGGACCCGCAATATCCCCCAGGTTCTTCCATGCCTCAGCCCTCACTTCTGGGCTTAAAAGCTGGGCGTGGCCACGCATGGCTTTATCTGTGGGTGCTGAGGGCCTGAACTCAGGCTCCTGTGTTTGCACCTTAAGCACTCTTCCACTGAGCCCTCTCTCCAGCCAGACTTTTCTAAATTTATTTCGTGAAAACATGAAAACGTATCACCTGGCCTCTTGCCCTTCTGTTCCAGAGGAAGTACCGTCCTCACCACTGACATCAATGACTTCTCTTCCTGGTGTTTTAAAACAAAAGAGGAAAACTATTTTGAAACAAAGTGTGCTGTTCTCATCATCCCCCACGGAAAGCAGTGTCATTATAGTGTTTCTAGATTCCATAGCCAGCATCTGTTCCTTACACTTTTTCAATAGTCATCCGTGAAATCATGAACACACACACATACATGTCACATATACATCACACACAGAGACACAGACATACAGACACACAGACACACACATACATATCACATATACATCACACACAGAGACACAGACACACAGAGATACAGAGATACGCACACACACACACACACACACACACACACACACACACACACACACACACACCACTTTAGGCTTGACTCTCAGACCAGTTGGTCCAGGCACCTGTACAGGCCTTCCAGAGAGTCACTGTGACCCATGTGCTCCCGGAGAGGCATGTTGACTAGGCATGTGGCAGGTTTCCTGTGTGGCAGAAATTTCAGGTGGGGGAACCTAAAGGCCCCAAGAAGCTTGAACAAGAGTTATTAGCATCTGAAACCTCCTGCTATTCCAATAAAAGTTCATGCACATAATCCACTCAGTGCTCCACCCACCAAGAGATTTTAGGATGTCCCCCGGGGTGGACACAGCCCTACAGGGCCCTTCTGTTTTTGTTGTTGTTGTTTGATTTTTTTTTAACCTTGGGTGATGAAATCTGGGGTCTTGGTGTCATGCAATATGATATGCATGAGCCTTGGATGTGTGCCAGCACTGGCAGGAGCTTTCCCACCCACCAAGAGATTTTAGGATGTCCCCTGTGGTGGACACAGCCATATGGCAGCCCATCTTGTTTCTTCAAACCTGGAGTGATTGAATCGGGGTTCCGGGTGTCATCTGACATGAGAATCAGACCTGCCTCGGATGCGTTTCAGAACTCTCAGGGGCTTTCCCACCCACCAAAAGACTTTAGGACGTTACCCAGGTGGACAGAGCCCTACAAGGGCCTATCTGGCTTGTTGTTGTTGTTGTTATTGTTTCTGGTTTTGTTTTTTACCTGGGGTGACTGCATCTGGGTTCTTGGTGTCATCCCACGTGGGATTCGGATCCAGCCTTGGACGAGCACCAGCACTCTCACGGGCTTTCTTCTCCCCGCTTGACATGGCTAGAATCTTCTTGGGCTAGACAGGACTCCGGTCACTACAGATACCAGGAGGAATTACAGGATGGCAATGGGAACAGGGACTTGGACTCCACAGGATGTGGCCAGATGCCCTGGCACTTGTACTGCAGCAAGGAGAAGGCAAGAGGATGTCACCACAGTTCAGTTCTGCACCATATCTCTATCTGAACGTGGAGCTCTCAGACAAACTACCTCTCAAGATTGGTCCTCTGCTGCCTTCCCGACCCTTGGGTAGGAAAATCCTGGGCACTGCCAGTGTAGGAGGGTCATCTGTCTATGTGTTACTTTCATTGATTAATAAAGAAACTGCCTTGGCCTTTTGATAGGCCATCCCTTAGGTGGGTGGAGTAGACAGAACAGAATGCTGGGAGAAAGAAAGCAGAGTCAGGCAGATGCCATGAAGCTCCGGCCCGAAATGGACGTAGGTTAGAATCTTCCCGGTAAGCCACCACCTCATGGTGCTACACAGATTATTAGAAATGGGTTAATCAAGAAGTGAGAATTAGCCAATAAGAGGCTGGAACTACTGGGACAGGCCGTGTTTAAATGAATACGATTTGTGTGTTGTTATTTCGGGTGTAAAGCTAGCCATGTGGGAGCCGGGCTGGACGAAAAGCAGGCCAGCTTGCCTCATCATTACACACTGCCTCCCGCCTGCAAAGCAAGGCACGAAATGCCCGTGTCTGGTTGGGAACGCCAATGCATTGAGGGCCTACTCAGTCACCTGGGCCACGTCTCCCAGCTCATAAGCTGTCCCACTCAGCCTGCCCAATCCCTGTAGCCCTCTTGACCCCTCCCCAACCTTGCACTCTGGGGCCTTGCTCAGTCCCATTTAGAAGCAAAGCTCCTGAGATCACCCCACAGGTTTCCCTTGGTCCTGCCTCTTTGAGATCCCACTGTCCTGGTGCATGAGCTAAGGAAGGTTCCTCTCGGATCCCTATCACAACTGGGGAGACTCATAGCAGAGTTACTCAATGGCAAATCATCCATGCAGGTATTCTCCCACCCTGGCTGGATCCGAATCCCACCCGAGGCTGGATCCGAATCCCACGTGGGATGACACCAAGAACCCAGATGCAGTCACCCCAGGTAAAAAACAAAACCAGAAACAATAACAACAACAACAACAAGCCAGATAGGCCCTTGTAGGGCTCTGTCCACCTGGGTAACGTCCTAAAGTCTTTTGGTGGGTGGGAAAGCCCCTGAGAGTTCTGAAACGCATCCGAGGCAGGTCTGATTCTCATGTCAGATGACACCCGGAACCCCGATTCAATCACTCCAGGTTTGAAGAAACAAGATGGGCTGCCATATGGCTGTGTCCACCACAGGGGACATCCTAAAATCTCTTGGTGGGTGGGAAAGCTCCTGCCAGTGCTGGCACACATCCAAGGCTCATGCATATCATATTGCATGACACCAAGACCCCAGATTTCATCACCCAAGGTTAAAAAAAAATCAAACAACAACAACAAAAACAGAAGGGCCCTGTAGGGCTGTGTCCACCCCGGGGGACATCCTAAAATCTCTTGGTGGGTGGAGCACTGAGTGGATTATGTGCATGAACTTTTATTGGAATAGCAGGAGGTTTCAGATGCTAATAACTCTTGTTCAAGCTTCTTGGGGCCTTTAGGTTCCCCCACCTGAAATTTCTGCCACACAGGAAACCTGCCACATGCCTAGTCAACATGCCTCTCCGGGAGCACATGGGTCACAGTGACTCTCTGGAAGGCCTGTACAGGTGCCTGGACCAACTGGTCTGAGAGTCAAGCCTAAAGTGGTGTGTGTGTGTGTGTGTGTGTGTGTGTGTGTGTGTGTGTGTGCGTATCTCTGTATCTCTGTGTGTCTGTGTCTCTGTGTGTGATGTATATGTGATATGTATGTGTGTGTCTGTGTGTCTGTATGTCTGTGTCTCTGTGTGTGATGTATATGTGACATGTATGTGTGTGTGTTCATGATTTCACGGATGACTATTGAAAAAGTGTAAGGAACAGATGCTGGCTATGGAATCTAGAAACACTATAATGACACTGCTTTCCGTGGGGGATGATGAGAACAGCACACTTTGTTTCAAAATAGTTTTCCTCTTTTGTTTTAAAACACCAGGAAGAGAAGTCATTGATGTCAGTGGTGAGGACGGTACTTCCTCTGGAACAGAAGGGCAAGAGGCCAGGTGATACGTTTTCATGTTTTCACGAAATAAATTTAGAAAAGTCTGGCTGGAGAGAGGGCTCAGTGGAAGAGTGCTTAAGGTGCAAACACAGGAGCCTGAGTTCAGGCCCTCAGCACCCACAGATAAAGCCATGCGTGGCCACGCCCAGCTTTTAAGCCCAGAAGTGAGGGCTGAGGCATGGAAGAACCTGGGGGATATTGCGGGTCCTTGCTGATTGCCAGACTAACAGAATAAACGGAGATAGTAAGTAAGTAAGTAAATGCAGCAACTAAGGCGCATGCACCACGTGGATGTACTTGGGTGCATTGAGCTTAAGGATCTCAAAGCAGCATCCTACAGTAGATCAGATGTTCAATGTGGTAAGGAATGAAAATCTCATGCCTCCAACAAAGTACGGGTCCTGTCATAGAGCCTGTCTGACAGGAATAAGGTGGCCTGTTCTTGAAATGTGAATTGTATGTAGGCTGTGTGGCACCCTCCACTTCTTCCACTCACTACAAGAATGGCCTTTTATGTACATCGAAGTAAAAAGGTAATTTCTTTGCAGGAAGAAAATACAGAATTTATTTGAAGAATTTGAAGGTACATTCTAGGAGATATCAGGAATTTGAGAAAATTGTTTCAACCAAAGAAGTGCAAGGCGAGGGAGGTATCGCTTGGCAGACAAGAGAGTGTGTTTACTGCCTTGTTCTCAAACAGTGTCAAATAGTATTTATTAGATTACCAACTCTCTACTTCACGTTAATTGCCAATATTGAGAACATGACACCTGTGGTGTGGATGCTGTTACTTACTAACAGTGGGATCTTTGAAAATTAGATGTAATTATCTGTCTTCAAGGTTTTGATTCGCACAAGTGATATGTCTGTTTCTAATATCACATTTGAAGCCAGCCAGTGGTGGCACATGCCTTTAATTCCAGCACTTGGGAGGCAGAGAGAGGCAGATCTCGGTGAATTCGAGCCCAGCCTGGTCTACAAGAGCTAGTTCCATGACAGGCACCAAAGCTACACAGAGAAATCCTGTCTCGAAAAACAATCCAAACAAAATACCACATATTACTTTACTTGTTTGTATTTTAGTCCAGCTCTCTGTCTCCTCTCTCTCTCTCTCTCTCTCTCTCTCTCTCTCTCTCTCTCTCTCTCTCTCTCTCTCTCTCTCTCTCTCTCTCCTGTGTGTTTGTGCGTATGTGCGTGTGCATTGCGTGTGTGTGAGTAGGGGTGGTGGCCAGCCTCCCTTAAATACCTGACCACTGTTTAATGTGTAAAGAATGGCACATGCAGTGGGGAGCTGAAGTAAGCACTGGGACCATTGTATGCGCAGACTGAGTCCTGCTTTAAATTTCTCTGTCAGAAGTCAGTCACACAAACAGTTAAAAAAAAAACATTACAATCTGAGAACGTTCTAGGAGCTCTGTAGAGGTTTCTGACAGAGAATCGATTCTGGAAACTTCAGGAATCAGGATAGGGAGGTAGCTGAGTGGGAGAGCACTCGCCTTCTATGCTTAAGGCTCTGGGTTCCATCCCCAGTACCACAGACTTATCGATCAGTGTGGTTCCCCCGTTAGAATATTCAGGGTGTCTACCCTGTCAAATTTGCCTAAAAGCTCCAATGGCTACAATAGTTACAGTATTTTCATCTGACTGTGCAATAATCTCTGAGCCTTTGGAGATCTTTGTAAACGGACTACTGTTGTGTTTTGCACAAAGCGGCCCAACAGTCCCTCAGAATGTGTCCTTGAACTGGAGCATAAATATGTACATTGATTGAATTTTACCTTTTAATGATGCCCCATGAGGAAATTACACAGCGATTTGAAACCCTTTCTTGCCAGTTTTGCTAAGTTCCCTTCACTGTGTTTTGTCTGTAATATATAGACACTGAAGTCCAGCTCTCCAATCTCACATCAAGGTCATAAATACTGAAATTCTTGACTGAAAGAAAGGAGGCAGATATTCTTGCCATTGACAGATTGTTTCCCTCTATTAATAGCAAGTGGTTTTCTAAGTAGAAAACTAAAGTTGACGGAACTTTACAGTAATGGTTTCAAGAATGTGTTTCTATGCAGAGCCCAATAAGAACTGTCTTCAGGGCAACAGCGAAAGATTCACAGCGATCATCACGGAGTCTTTCCAAACCTTGGAGCTGAAATTTGAGGATATTCTAAAAATCCAGGGCGAGCATAGGTACGGTTGTTGCTTCTTGGTGCTGTTATCCCAGACGCTTTGACATTTGGTTAGTAAGCACGATGGCTAGAGGTTGAGGAATAGCCGTGACCCCCACGGGCCAGAAGCTCAGTTGGATAACGTGTTTGGCTTGGCATTTGTGTATAGGGTAGACTTCTTTAGGCATGTTATAGCCTCACATCATCACCGAAGTCAGCTGCATTTCCTAGGCATGAATTACGATGACCGTTTTGACACATTGCTGTTGAGTCAGTGGAACAGGATGCATCACGTGAACGTGCTGGGCACCTGGAGCTTGAAATCCTCAAAGCATTCATCCCACAGTCAGTTGAGCCTCTGTTCGGTGCCATAGAAATGAAAATCCCATGCGTCCAAAGCCGTATAGCTATCAGGAGCAGTGTTCTCTATGCTACTGTACCGAGATTCACACTGGCACAGCGTGAGGAAGAGCAAGCGGGTAGGCCACCACAGAATTCTCTGATGGGAGCGAATGTGCATGCTATTTGGACCTGTTCTTCAGAAAGAGAGAACTAACCACAAGTTGTGTCTGTCAGACAGATGAATATTTGTGGAATGATAGTAAAACAATAGTTCTTCCTGAGCTTTCTGGCACAAAGGCGTGGGAAGGTACTTCTCTCTCAGCAGGGAGGAGCAAATGCTGTGATGTAGAATGAAATAATCCAATCAGCTTCCTTTTCCCTGTCTGCATAGTTTAGAGGCCATTTCCCCATCCTCCACCAATAGCGTTAGTGAGGGCAAGTCAGTCGTGCTTCGAATGTACTTTCTTCCTATTGGGATGGAGTATCACACTGTTCCTTGCTATATCATTCACAGGCAGAAACTTTATCAAGAATATTCTCTTCAGATGAAGACTTTGAAAAGAAAGATATCCGAGGATGCAGCTGAAGTCAAGAAACATGCAAAAAAAAAAAAAAAAAAACTCACTGTGAGTGTCAAGCAGCTTAGCTTTCAAGGAATCCATTGTGTCAGCATCAGAAGTAGCAGGGCTTCCTGCAGCAAGTCTGGAGGGAAGGGACGAGACAAGAACTTAGGGAGGCAAGCAGGGTGGTAGATGTGGTGACAAGAGACTGGCCACTGACTGTTTCCCCCTGGTTTGTTCCTTTACACGCAGAGAGATGACAAGGTCAGTGATGGTTAGCAGCCATCAAGGTGGGGGGGGGGGGGTGGGCGGGTGAGCAGGCACTGCCTGGAGAGTGCAGGAGAAGGTATGGGATTGTATCTTAAGAGGGAGCCCTTTCTGATTCACCCAAGAAGTGCAGACACCAGGAGCAGGAGGCCCACCAGAGCCTTCTGACACAGTGAAGAGGCAGGCAGAGTGAGAGCAGTCCCTGTGGCTGCGGCAGAGCAGGTGGAGGCTTAGCCTTCAGTGCTTGGAGTTCAGACCAGCCCACTCCCAGAGGTGAGGAAGGCAAGGCTTCAATTTGTGATGGCCATGGGATGACTGACTCTCCTTTAACCTGGAGATTTGAGTGAGGTTTTTATGAGTTTTGGGGCACAAATAAATGCCTGACACCGAACAGTGCCATCTTTGAGGGAATCTTCCTTCCTGGTGTAGGATGGAGCTGCCCTCCTGGAGATTCTGACGTCCAAAGGTGGGGAGGCCGAGGCTGGGATGTGGAGGGAGATGGAGGGGACCCCTACCCCCGTCCAGTCCAGTGGGCAGAAGTATGGCCCCTGCATTCTGTAATCCCACCAGTTGGAACGCAGTCATGGTTCAGTCCCTTGCTAGTCACGCTCACTGGGGAAAATAATTTACCTCTGTGTCTCAGATTGCTAGGTGTGAGAGGAGAGATACTTAAGGTCCCCATCTCACAGAATTGGTTTCAAAAGACTCTTAGATGTGCATTCTTACATTGGTCCAGGACAGTATCCGACGTAAGTCTTACAGAATCCTTGCCTGTTAAGCAGGCCAGCTTTGGACTCTACTCTTACTGGCAAGAACAAAAGGGAGTGGGTTCCTATGTAGGGAGTGAGAGACACTGGGGCCATCTCAGGGAGATTTCTATAAACACAGAGGGTTCACCAGCTATGACAGCCTCTAATGGATGGGTTTTCAAGTCTTCAGAAACTAACAGCAATGTTTTAGATACTGTTACGCGTAGGGTTAAGCCAGCCCCTTAGGAGGCGGGCTTGCCTCGGGCGAATGTTTACTTATAAATCGGGCGCATGGGGACCCGTCGCACCCCTTCTGCTTCCTGTGCTCCTCGCATACCTTGGTCCTGTAAGTTTATTTCTTCATTAAAGCTGTATATATTCTTTACAATCTGCCTGCATTTATTTATGCCGCTACATTTGTGGAGCCCAGTGAGGCTTTACGAATACCCGCTCTGAATCGGGGGCACCTGGGGGCAACCGCAGGTAGCCAGCGGCACCATCCCCTCTGGAGGTCTCTCTCTTCACGCAGATTGTACCCTCTCAGCACTGCTCCTAGAAGCAGCTGAGATTCTGAATCACAGGTTGGCAAACAGGACGGGAGACTTAGCCCCAGCTTTGGATTTGGCCTCGCACCACGAGTCTGTGCGCCCCACCCTGCCCGACAGTGGTACAAGTGCATCTGTAACAGCGTCATCAGTACACAGTGCTGCTCTGTTCCCCTCCCACCTCTGCCCAGCGCTCCTGTCACTTGATGGCAGCAGGGAGGCCCTGCAGTCCCTGCAAGCCGGCGCTGCGCCATGCGTCCCTTTGACTTGTTCACTTTGGCGGCTTTCTCTCTCTTCCCCTTCCACCCCAATTGCTCTTTCTCAGCCTGGTGTCTGCTCCAACTTTTGTTTTTGAGTCACTTATTTCAGACTTAGGCCACGTGGACTCAAGTGGACTCTTTCGCCACCACTGGCAGGAACCGGTCATTGCAGGTAAAAAAAAAATTTTCTTTTATAAATAAAATGTCTGAGAACGTTACTATTCAAGATTTTAACAGCCTTTTTGAGTGTACCATGTGGGAGATTTTACAAGAGGTATCTATCACCCCGCATCTATGGATATTTCTGGGATTCGTAGTTTTCCTTGGTACTATAAGGTTTGATAATATAAATGTGATAAAGTCTTTAAGAGACGAATCCAGGCAGAGGTTGAATGTTTAAAAACTATTGAGAACGACAACAATCTTCTCAAGAATCAGTTTGAAGTTCTCCAGGAAGAGAACAGATCTTTGTTTAACATGACTCAGTTAACTGAGCAAAATTTAGAAAAGGTACAGGCTGATGTTAAGGAGAAATTCATTACTATGGAAGAAGGTACAGCTGATTTGGATCGTAAACTTCAGCAGTCCCTTTCTGTAGGAACTGAAACATTAACTGAGAGAATCAAAACTGCTGAATGTGACAATCGAATTTTGTCTAAAGCTTATGACAGATTGGCGGCAAGATTGTCAATAAAAGAAGGCACGGTTTATGACATAAAAATTATGTCCAAAGATGAGAAGTTATCACTAATGGACAAACTTCATACTTTAGAAGCCTCAATGAAGGCTTTGGAACATAATTCTGGACAGGAGATTCAGACATTGCAGAAGGCAATGGTGAATAGAATTGAAAAGATTGAGGAATTTTTAAATTCTGATGAAGAAGAGCAAAGGGTAAAAAGGCAAATTTTAACTACATCTGTGGGTAAATCCCTCCGGGACAATTTCCACAAAGCTCTACCTACAGATCTACCTGCCTTTCCAGTAATAACAACAGAGAAGGTGATTGGTTCCAGAAACTCTAGGGTCATCAAGGAAGATACATGGGAGCCTGTCTGTATGAGTGATCTCAAAGAAATTAAACATGCTGTCATGACTTTTGGGATGAACGCCTCTTTTGTTAAAGAGAGGCTAAAATCTTGGGCCACAACAAGCAGAGCAACCCCCTCGGATTGGCTTCAGCTGAGCTCTGCGGTCCTTGAGAGTGGCCCACAATTGAAATGGAAATGTTTATTCAGTCAAGAGGCTAGACTTTTAGAACAGCAGGAAAAGTGAAGGGAATTGACATTTCCCTAAATAAAATTCTAGGTGGAAGGCTTTATTCCGACCCTCAGGAACAAGCTAATTCGGATGAAAACACACTCTCAGTGTGTACTACAGCAGCCTTCGGGGCTTGGGACAGGGTACAAGACCCAGGACTGAGAATGGAATCATTTGTCAGAGTTAAACAGGGTCAGAGAGAACCCTTTAGTGACTTTTTACAAAGACTAACTAAGGTTGTACAAATAGGGATATCTGACCCAGAAGCAAGACGTATAATGATTGAGTCTTTGGCTTATGAAAATGCAAATGTGGAATGCAAAAAGATTTTGGGGCATTTAAAGCTCAAATAAGCGCCCTTAGAAGAATGGGTCTTGCATACACTGAATGTTGGTACATTTGACTATGGCACTGAAGCATGGGTAGAAGAAGCAATTTCCAATGGTAAAAGGAGACACCAGAATACCAAATGTTTTAATTGTGGCAAAATGTGTCATTTGAAAAGGAATTGTAAACAACGATTTTCAGAAATAATAATAATGCATCTTCTAGAAATAACAGAAATAGGAGGACTCAGCCTTCAGGTTTATGTAGAAGATGTGGAAAAGGCAGACATTGGACGAATGAATGCAGGTCTACAAGAGATAGACAAGGCAACCTGATACAGACGGGAAACGTGAGAGACCGGCCTCACAGGCCCCCATGGCAAACATGGTTCAGTCATTTCCAGTTTCTACAGAGAACGTGCCTCGTCAGGACAATTAGGAAGCCCCATGCCGGCTGTTACAAACAATAATGATCAAAAAGCTGAGTTATGTGTGTTATGGCATACTTCTATAAATGATCAAAGACCTAAGCTGAGAGTGTGCGTGAATGGCATTTTTATTACTGGCCTGCTGGACAATGGTGCTGATGTAAGTATCATTACCCCAGAATCTTGGCATCCATATTGGCCTCTTTAGAATGTAAATATTCAGCTCCTGGGAATTGGAACCCTATGTCGAGAAAGGCAGAGTACGAGGTGGGTTGAATGTATAGGGACAGAGGGACAAATAGGAAAATTAAGGCCATATGTAGCCAGTATCGCAATGAATTTATGGGGTCGTGACCTATTACAACAATGGAATACTGAAATTAGCATTCCTGCTACTTCTAGAGCCTATATTTCTGAGAATAATATTAAAAGATATTACAAACGGAGAAAACCGGCCATTCAGGCTGTACAAGAACAAGCAATTGATGTCCCTTCAGAGATACCAACAGCCTTGCCTCCAAAATGGTTGACTGAGAAACCAATATGGACAAAGCAATGGCCTCTAGCTGAGGAAAAGTTAATGGCTTTAGAACAGCTGATACAGAGAGTCCAGTTTTATCCCATGCTTTTTCAGTCACAGTCCAGCTGGCCTTGGTGAGCTCCCAGTAGATCAGCTCCACTGTCTCAATGAGTGGGTGCACCCCTCGTGATCCTGACTTCTTTGCCCATGTTCTCTCTCCTTCTGCTCCTCATTGGGACCTTGGGAGCTCAGTCCAGTGCTCCAGTGTGGGTCTCTGTCTCTATCTCCATCCATCACCAGATGAAGGTTCTATGATGATATGCAAGATATTCGTCGGTATTGCTATAGGCTAGGGTCATTTCTGGTTCCCTATCCTCAGCTGCCCAAGGAACTAACTGGGGACCTCGGTTTGGGCTCCTGGGAGCCACTCTAGGTTCAAGTCTCTTGCCAACCCTAAGGTGGCTCCCTTAACTAAGAATTGTGCTTCTGTTACCACAGGGCAGGGAACCCTGACTGCTCTTTGGACTGGAGAGGGAGGGGGAGAGGAGTGGGAGGAGGGAGAGACGGATGGGAGGAGGGGGAGAAGGGTGGGAGGAGGGGGAGGGAAATGGGAGCCTGGGAGGAGGTGGAAACTTGTTTTTTTTCTTCCTTTTCTCAATAAAATATATATATATATGTATATATATATATAAAGAACAGCGGATACAAGAGCAATTAGATGCTGGACATATAGAATCTACCAGCCCTTGGAATTCTCCTGTATTTGTGGTTAAGAAAAAATCAGGTAAATGGAAAATGGTGACAGATCTCAGAGCTATCGACATGGTTATTTAACCTATGGGCCATCTGCAATCTGGAATCCCTTTGCCTTCTTTATTACCAAAAGGATGGCCTCTCATAGTTATTGATTTAAAGGATTGTTTTTTCACTATACCTTTACAAAAAGAAGATAGAGAAAAATTTGCCTTCACGGTGCATACTTACAACAATTCTCCACCTTCCAGGAGGTACCACTGGGCCGTCCTCCCCCAGGGTATTTTAAATAGCCCCTCCTTATGCCAATATTTTGTGAATCAACCATTGCAAATGATCTGCAAGAAATTTCCCAAATCGATAATATATCATTACATGGACAACATTTTGTTATCCGACTCAAACATGGATACCTTGAACAGATTGTTTGAAGAAATAAAGATACTTTTACCTAAATGGGGATTGCAAATTGCTCCTGAAAAGATTCAGAAGGGAGATTCTGTTAATTATCCAGGTTATAGAATAGGTTTGCAAAAAATTAAGGCACAAAAGGCACAAATTAGGAGAGATTGCCTACAGACTCTTAATGACTTTCAAAGACTGTTAGGAGACAATTCCAGTCTACGACCAGCTATTGGGATAGCACATGATCTAAAAATTTATTTGAACACAACCTTGGATGGTGATAAAGATTGAAACTGTCCCAGATAATTACCAGCTGAAGCAGAAAAGGAACTGACAATGATTGAGGAGAAATTACAACAGGCACATGTGGACAGAGTGAATCCAGAGCTCGATTATATTCTCTTCATATTACCATAAAAAATTTCTCCTACAGGAATTTTAATGCAGAGAGATGATATTATCTTGGAATGGTTCTTTTTACCACATAAACCAAGTAAGAAACTGAAAACTTATGTGGAAAAAGTCTCTGAGTTAATTATAAAAGGCAAGCTGAGACTTCGTCAATGAGCAGGCATAGACCCAGAAGAAATTATAGTGCCTTTCACTGCTGATGAACTAAAGAAATTATGGGAAGATAATGAACCATGGCAAAGAGCTTGTGCTAATTTTTTGGGAGACATTAATAGCAACTATCCAAAAAGCAAGAGGCTTAACTTCATAAAGAGAACTTCTTGGATCCTTCCTCGAATCGTCCGTGATGCTCCAATAACAGGAGCCTGTACATTCTATACTGATGCCAATAAATCAGGGAAGGCAGATTACAAATCAGAAGACTTAGGTAAGGTGGAACAAAGTCCTTATGATTCTGTCCAGAAGGCAGAATTATATGCCATTCTTATGGTACTAAGAGATTTTAAAGAACCTATTAATATAATAAATGATTCACAATACACAGAAAGAGTTATTTTACATATTGAAACTGCTGAATTTATACCTGATGATACAGAACTACCCTCATTGTTTATCCAGGTACAAGATTTGATCAGGAACAGGCTTTGCCCTATGGACATAACACACATCCTATCCCATATGTGTTTGCCAGGTCCTCTAGCACAAGGCAATGCAGAAATTGATCAATTATTGATTGGTAGTATGCTACAAGCCTCTGAATTTCATAAAAAACATCATGTTAATAGCAAAGGTTTGAAGAAAGCGTTTTCTATTACATGGCAACAAGCTAAGGAGATTGTAAAGAAATGCCCTACTTGCTCTTTCTATAACCAAACGCCACTGCCAGCAGGGGATAATCCGAAGGGCACCCATAGGAATGAAATCTGGCAGATGGATGTGTTCCACTTTGCAGAATTTGGCAAATGAAGTATGTTCATTGTTCATCACACCATTGACACTTATTCAGTCTTTCAGTGGGCAACTGCTTTAAGTTCAGAAAAAGCTGATTCAGTAATCACTCATTTATTAGAAGTCATGACTATCATGGGTATACCTACACAAATAAAGACAGATAATGGTCCTGCTTATGTCTCTAGGAAAATGAAACGGTTTTTTGATTATTACAATATCAAGCATGTTACAGGTATACCATACAATCCTACAGGTCAAGCAGTCATAGAAAGATCAAATTGAACTATAAAGGATATGTTGAACAAACAGAAAGGGCTGGAAAACACCCCCAGAAATAGGTTACATAATGCTTTGTTAACCTTGAATTTTCTCAGTGCTAATGAGAAGGGAACAACGGCTGCAGAAAGACATTGGATAATGGAAAAGTCTACTGAACTAAATCAACCAGTTTATTTCAAGGATGTGCTGACCTCACAATGGAAGCCAGGAGATGTGCTGCGTTGGGAAAGGGGTTTTGCCCTTATCTCAACAGGTGAGGAAAAATTGTGGATACCGTCAAAATTAATAAAGGTTCGGTTTGAAGAAGAGAAGCCACGTGGAAAAGATAAATAACAATTAATTCACAAGGATGGCGAACATGTTGATGGTAAGAAATACAGTTAGGTTGGGGGCAGGGTCCTTTTCTTATCTCCACAGGAAAATACTCATCTTCAAAGAATTTAAGGGACCCTGAATATTTAATTACTGATGGATGGAAACTAGTTACGACCCACTAAGGATCAACAGTAAAATTCTACATATTCTGTAAGTATTGATTTTTGTATTTATATATGTTTTATCGAACACTTCTTTATGAATATGTAGAGCTGGTTCTGGAGTTGTACTATGGCTCAGTCCCTCTTCAATTCCAAGCCTGTTGATAAGAGATATTTCAGAGTTTCTGTCTCAGTTCAGGAGCCATGAAATGGGACAGAATAAGAATAATTGTATACTTGATAAACTTTCTTTGCCTTTCCTCATATCTGTGTCTTTCTTTATATGTCAGTATATGTCTTTATTGTTAATGTTTAAACTTCCCATAACAAGCAACAAATTTTTCTACAGTAATATTTGAAGTTTCCAGGATGAAGATGGGGCCCCACAGCATCAACTCAATCTGGTTTTTATGACGTCATGAATATCTTTAAGCACTAATATTAGACCTGTTTTTTGGTGCCAACTGCATGAGACAATTTTGAATGGTGCACATTTTTGACAACACTCTGGCTGGACCTTCTCAAAACGCTCAGAGACTAGTTATAATTTTCTTAGGTCAAAGGTTATTTGGGGAATTTTACCATCATTTTCTTTCACAGAGTCCCCTAAGGAGAACGTCGCCCCCATGTCAGCTAGAAGCAATCTAAGAGGACGACGTCCCCCCTACCAACAGAGTTTGCCCGCAGGATTAGGGACATCTTTTAGTGGTTGATTTAGGGTTGAGGGGATGGGGAGATACTTTATGGAATTAGGGGTATTTTCAAAAAAAGGGGGGGGGGATTAACTGGTTTAATGGGATGATTGGTATTTGTGATTTACTGTTTTTAGAAAATTATATTGGTACTGTTTCTTGTACATTGTTATATTGAATATTGAATGTGAGTGTGCCTACCTCTATTTTTGTATAAGAGTATGCTTATATTGTATTGATACATCTACCATATCACAATGTACATTTCTACCTCTGATCCTATTTATGTAATAACATTGTTTACATTTGATATGTAATGACATTGTTTACAGTTGAAGATCATTGTCTTCATATATTGCACAGTTGTTTATTATTTTAGTCTTCAAGTTAGATAGGTATTGAGAATTATATGCTTGCCATATTTATTTTTAGGTTAATCAGGTATTTTAGATACATAGAGATTATATTTAGTATAGATAGTATAATCTTCAGCCTCTTCGAAGAGCTGTAGAAAATGGCCTTTAATCTAATCGAGAATTCTGTGCCAATGAGACACAATTACTCCTTGTAATGCCACTCTACTCCCGAGAGAACGTTGAGCATCAAAGACACTCCACTGGGAGCTTGTCTTCTTGGCAGAACTGGCCTTTGGGTTAAGAAAAGCCCATACCTCAACTACTGACAAAGATATAGAATATCCCTAAGTGGATGAAACAGGATTGTCTTATCCTGCCAAGACAGGGTAAGATGGTTCTAAGAAAGTTCCTTGCCTTTAATAATGGTATGTTAGCTATGTTAGGCCTTAGCCAAAGTTGGTTGACTCAACATTGCAAACGAGACTTTGGGTGTTTGCCCAGGTAGTCAGTTGTCTCTGTCATTTGTTGCACATTTCGGATATCTCTCATTTTTTAAGTAATATTAATTCCCTTCTCAGATCTTTGATGCAGTTGAAGATTATATAATTGTAGTTACTCTCTACATTATTTAGACTCCTTGAGATAGAATGTATAGCAAAACTTTTGTTCTCAATATTGTTTGTTATATTTATCATTTGTTATTATTGTTTATAGTTGTATTTGGTTTAGTTCTGTCTTATTTAGACAAAAGGGGGAGATGTAGTGTTAAGCCAGCCCCTTAGGGGGCGGGCTTGCCTCGGGCGAATGTTTACTTATAAATCGGGCGCTCGGGAATCCGTGCGCCCCTTCTGCTTCCTGTGCTCCATGGGAACCTTGGTCCTGTAAGTTTATTTCTTCATTAAAGCTGTATATATTCTTTACAATCTGCCTGCATTTATTTACGCTGCTACAGTTACATAGGAAAACGTTCCATTAAATGAATGAGATTCTCATCACTATGGTAATTTTTTAGTATTAGATAACTCGTGTGAAGTGGTCATTGTGCTTGAAAAATTACTAGTGATTTCCTTGTATATGTTTTGCATAAATATGATACAGAGTCGCGTTTTTGTAATATTTCTGAGTTTTCCTGTATTGTTCTTACATCTTTTACTGTCTGTGTCACAGAATATCTTCAAGGAGCAGCAAAAATTTATTCATCAGTTTCTGGGTATTCAGAAGAAGAGGATGGAAGAATTTAAAGATCTGTGTGAACAGTATTTGGAGGTCTGTTGTACATTCTGAAAGCAATCCACACACAGGGACATTGAATACTCTGGCGTTCCTTCCAAGCTTTGGATTATTCCTTAGGAAAGTTAGCTGTAAACATCTTCCTGTCAACAGAGGTTTCTGTCCCGCCTGGTCCCGCAGTCATTCATTCCCAAAGAAGCACACAGAGGCCTACATTTTATTTATAAACTGTTTGGCCTATTGGCTCAGTCTTCTCATTAACTCTCATATCTTACATCTCAACCCACAATTCTTGTCTGTGTTAGCCACATGGCTTGGGACCTTTTATCAGCGAGGCATTCTCATCTTGTTTCCTTTTGGACTGGGTTACAACTGAAGATTGACCCTTTTCTCTTCCTGGAATTCTCCTGTTCTCTTGGCCCTGCCTCTACTTCCTGCCTGGCTACTGGCCAGTCAGGGTTTTACTGAAACAGTGCAAGACCATGGTACCAGAGCATCTTCCAGCATTTTCCTCATGGTGTCAAGGTTCCATGTAAACCTAAGTACAAAATAAGTTTTTACTTTTAGAGTTCACATAACGGTGGGTAGAGTCCTTTGAAGGAGGAATTGCTGTCTTGGCGATTTCATCCAGAGTTGTTCGTATTGTACGGGGCATTGATGCCTTTCAGACTGTCTGTTCTTGTCTCACAGTGCATTTTCCCTTGGGTGTGTATGTGCACTGAGGCACACGCACGTGTACGTTCCTCTGGGTGTGTGTGTGAAGGTCATAAGCCAGCCGTGTGTATCTTCAGTAACTCTCCTTCGTATCTTTTTGAGACAGGATGGCTCACTGAACCTGCAACTCGCTTGCCCCTGTGGCTGGGCTGGCTGTTCACCAGGTCACAGGGGTGGCGTGCCCAAGGGAAGAGGTCTTGGGAAGTTTTATAAGCCCCCCCCCCCACAGCATTTCACACAAGCATTTAGATGTAGCATGTGCTATTTCACACACTACTGAAGGCACTGTGGGGGTGGAAACCTTGAGTTTTAATTTCATGGTGTTCAGTGGTACACGACAAGCTACTCCAGCTCCCAAAGAAATGAGTGAGTGGCAGTCAATGAGCTCATGCCTCGTGCTCTCTGTTTTCATTGGGTTTCATTCTTGATTTGTGGGGAGTGGGACCCTGGGCTCTCCCACATGCTAGGTAGGCAAAGCACCCTTCCCCTGAGCCCCCCCCCCCCACTAATGCCACAAGGTTGAACTTTCAGCAGTGGGTTGTGGAGTGGTAACGCCTGTGTTTCTTTGGTGGGTGATGGATCTCCATGTCGCACATGCTGTATGCTTGTTTTGGAATAATGAAACCATGTCTTTTCACCACATCTAGTCCCTTTTAAATATTGCTGTTCGCATTTGTAAACAAAATGACCAGGGCTGATTTCTGCCCATGTCTCTTTCACTTTAGAAACTTGTAATACTGAGGGATTCTCGGGGAGATTCCCTCATTGAAGAGCTGAGACGTCTAATAGCCACCTTGAAAATAAAACTTCTGATGCTGAATGTAAGTACTGAGCCTTTCAGGGCAAACTGAGGCTTGATGAGCACTGTTTATTATGTCCGTTTAATATGTCCTTGTGCTTCACAGTGCCAGAAAGAGAATGCTGCTGGTCAACTGTCTCTCCTGGATCTGTTATTCTCATAATACTCTGAAGAAATGAAAGTCGATACAAGGGGAGCGATTCTCTCATGGAAATTCTCTGAGAGAAGCTGCTTGTGGTTTGCGGCTTCAGTGACTACGTCTTCTTGTGTTCTCCTGTTCCTAAAGATACCCCTTTCTGCTAAAACCCAAGTAAACCGAAGGATTTGTGTGACAGCAGTCCAGAAATGTCTATAGCATCCTCCAGCCCACGGGTCGTAATGGCAAGTTTTTCTTGGTAGCGTCGTAATTAATGGTTAGCAGTGCATTGGTGTCGATACAGTGGGGTCTTGTACCTCAGTATAACTTGACCAAATTAGAAGGCACAAGAGTGGTCCATCCTCGTCATCTTCAGAGAAATAGTTAAAGGAGGCACACTCTTGCCATTGCATACTGCTGTTACATTTGTTCAGTCATGGAGCCTATGGGAATGACGATAACCCTGCAAAGAGAATGCGTCCTGTAGACTTGAAAAGACTGTGCCCCAGAAGTAGTGAAATTGGTAGAATTCATTAAAACTCCTGAAGAAAAAAAGATGTAAGTATTGTGACGAGTATGTGAAAATGTCACTTCCCGACAAAATTTATAAGGTCTTTCAATGCAATGTGGTCTGCTACCTGATGTCAACTGCCTGTCACATTAAGAGTTGATCCTTAGTATGCCTAAGCTCACTTCCTCGTGGTTTATGTATTTCCTCCTTTGTATGGATAGCGGTAACTGAGAATGTTTTGTGTTTCAAAATTATTGTTCACGTAGTATGTGAACATCAGTGATAGACAAGGTCTTCTGTACACTTAAGACTCTTATCCTGTGGTTTCCTTCATACACACACACACACACACACACACACACACACACACACATATATATATATATATATATATATACATATTCCATGGGAAATCATTACTTGGAAACATTTGGTTTCATAAATATGGAATTGTTTCAGACTTGCTGGTATGAGTCATGTAATTGCGCTCCCTTCCCAACGTTTCATGCCTTTTTAAACAAAAATGGTCCTATGCTAACTCACGTTTCTGCATGGGGCCTCTCCTCGTCCTGACCACTTGTCTCATTGTGTCCTGTGGTGCAGAAGCATTAAAAACAAGTGTGCGTTCGGCATCTCTCATTTTCTACAAGCAGAATTCATTTCTCCACAGTCAATGAGAGAACTTCCCCTCTGGCCAGAATCATGGTACTTCCTAAACTGTGAATTATCTAGGGGAACTTCCCCCTTTGTTCAAAATATCTGTGATTGTATGGACCTTCAGTAATGCTTCCAGCACTGAATATCTCCTACTTGAGATATTCTATCAGTAGTAGATGAAAAATCTATTACCCTATCATTGAATCTTGTATTATTCTAGTGTGTACTCCTGTGTGTATGAGAGAAAGAGAGAGACAGAGAAACAGAAAGAGACAGAGAGGGATGGAGAGGGAGAGAGAGAGAATATTTTGGTATGTGGTACATGTGTAAATGTGTTCCTATGTGTAGCACATGTGTGTGTGAATACACGTGTATGGTGTATGCAGGTTTATGCATAAATCTTTTAGTATGCAGTACATGTGTAAATGTGTTCATATGTGTAGGCACACCTGTGTGTGAGTGCATGTGTGCATCTCTGCGTGTTTGCAGATGTGTGTAAATCATTTGGTATGTGCTTCATATATATGTGTTCTATGTGTAGACACACTTGCTTTTGAATGCATGTGTCCACCTCTGTGTATGTTTGCAAGTGTAAATCTTTTGATATGTGGTTCATATATATGTGTTCATATGTGTAGCACACATGTGTGGATATGTGTGTGTGAGAGTGTGCAGATCTTTTGGTATGTGGTACGTATGTTTATGTGATCATATGTGTAAGTGGAGACTTCATGTTCATTTCCTGGCCAATCAGACCCAAATATTCACAACAAAAACTTTATTAATTACAACACAGTTTTGCCGACAGCCCAGGCACATTCCTAGCTATGTCTTACATCCTAAATTAACCCATTTCTACTCATCTGTTTATCACCACGAGGCTGTGGCTTACAGGTAAGTTTCCGGTGTCTTTCTCCTTCGGCAGGTGCATGGCATCTGCCTGACTCTGCCGTCTTTCTCCCTGCATTCACCTAACTTTATTCTGCCCTGTCATTGACCAAAGAAGCTTCTTTATTAACCAACGGTATTAAACCTATTCAGAGCATACAGAGGGGATTCCCACATCACATGTATGTAGAACTCATGTGCGTGAATGCATGTGCATGCATGTGTGCGTGTGTTCACAACTGCATGTGCATATGCCGGCAGATGTGATTTTGCATGTGGAAGCCAGACATACTCCAGGCACCTAACTTATTTTGACACAGGGTAACGCTGTGACCATGGGGCTCATTGATTGGTCTAGAGCGTTAGGCCATTGAGTGCCAGGATTCTATCCTGTCTCTCTTCTTCAGTGCTGGTGTTATAGACATTCACCATTGGCCTTAGATGTGGTATGTGTATGTATCTGTGCATGTGTATGTATGTGTATATGTATGTATGTGCAAATATGTTCGTTCAGGTTCCCAAGGAGGGTGTCAAACCCCCCAGAGGGGGAGTTATCAGTCACCTGACAGGGTTCCTGGGATTTGAACTCGGGTCTTCTGGAAGAGCAACAAGTGCTCTTAAACACCGAGCCGTCTCTACACCACCCTGTGCTGAGGTTTCCAAAGGTTCTGGGGATCTGAACTCATCATCTGGGCTATTTGGTATCTTTGGTAATTGTTGTGGGAGCTTGGGGGAGCCACTGGCTGTACAAAGTATGTTAGAGTCATTTAGACTCTTAGGTATCCCCGGTCCTGGTTGTGGAGTATAGGAAGCCCCTGCTCATAGGAGCCATTTAGATTACTATCTGCCTTCCGGTCCTGGTTGTAGGAGCTTGATATGGCCTGGTCCGACAGATAGTGAAGATCACCAGGCTATTAATCACCTCCAATCCCCAGCCTTCTGGATGGAAGAACAGGTCTCACATCTTTTCCATTGAGAAGACATTACTGCATGCTTAACGTTCCTGGTTTCCCAGGAGATCTGTGAGCACAAGGATCTTCCTGCTCCCCACAGACTGGGACACTGTGATAGGAGCTGAAATGTGCCCCCGGAGGCAGACCCACATTTGCAAAGTGTAGATGCCACACAGTGAAATAATGAGAACTGTCACAGAATGTGTTCTGTATGCATCATCAGTGTGGACAAGGAACGGATAAAATTTCTGAGTTCAAAGCCTATGAAACAAATATGTACATGGAGCTGGGGAGATGGCTCAGCGGGTAAAATGCTTGCTGAATTAGCATGAAGACCTGAGTTCAGATCCCCAGAACCTTTGAAAACCTCAGCACAGGGTGCTGTGGAGACGACTCAGTTTAAGAGCATTTGTTGCTCTTCCAGAAGACCCGAGATCAAATCCCAGGAACCCTGTCTGGTGTCCCAAGACTGACTGATAACTCCCCCTCTGGGGTGTCGGACACCCTCCACGGGAACCTGAATGAACACATTTGCACATACATACACGGACACATACACACACGCACAGTTACATACACATACCACATCTCCGGCCAACGGTGAGTGTCTGTAATACCAGCCCTTGAGAAGAGAGAAAGGTTTGTGAGATGTAGCATCTGAGAGCAGGGAGAAGGTAGCAGTATGGTGAGGCTGCACACCATCCATGCACATGTGTACGTGGAACGAAATGGCACCGCAGATGTCATTCATTTCTAACACTAATGTTACTGACCATAAAATTAAAGATGGGCAAGGATCATGGCTCAGTGGGTTAGGTTTTCCCGTGCAAGCATGAGAACCTGAGTTCAGATCACCAGCGCCCACGGAAAATCCAGGCACAGCAATACTCTTAAACCCTAGAGCCAGCATGTCTGGCGTGGAGGACAGAGTGCTGGATCCATCCGCAAAACTCTCTGGCCACTCCGCCTGACAAAATCAGTGAGTTTCATGTTCACTGAGAGACTGTGTCTTAAAAGATAAGGTAAATCTGCAGCCAACTAAGCTGCACGGGAGGTCCCCTTTCTCAGCGGGGCCCACTGTGCAATGGTTGCCAGCAGCTTCTCACTGGGGCCTGGTGTGCAATGCTTGCCAACAGCACACTCGTTTGGAGTGACCTCACCCTGTTGCCTGTATGGGCTCCCCGAAAGGGACCTTGGAAACAATCTTCTGAAGGCTCTTCGAGCTCTGACCTCAATGTCGCCTCCAATCTTGGCCCCAGACAGGTATTCGCTGTGCCCTAGGGAAGGAAGCCTCAGGTCACCACGGCCAGGGGTCTCACTGTCCAGGCCATCACGTCCACCTGAATCATGCCTCAGAATAAGGAACATCGGATGGAGGCCCTACATAAAGCCAAGTTCAAGCTCTCCGTGCTGCCAAAGGCAAATGGTGTTATTAAGCCCCTTCCTCCCACTTTCTTGCCCTGGTTCTCCTCACTGAGTTCTTCTTTGTCTGTCTCTCTCAAAGAGGTGAGGCTTCACTAAATTGAATGTAGATTGATCTGAAGGACACAGTCGCTGAGAAGTGACTCGTTCCTGATGGCCGAGGGGTCAGCTGCATCACCAATCCTGGTCCCATGGTCATTGGCGGGCCCCACACTCCTCGGGGCTTCTACTGCGGTGCTACCCTCTACCCTACTAAATCATGTTCAGTAATAAATATCACATCCTGTCTGGGAAAAGAGGGGTTACAGATGATACGCAGTGTCAACCTTTGCCCTACACACTCACACACACGGCATGGGTGAGGGTGAAACACAAGAGGAGGAAGGGAATACTAGGGAGAGGAGGGATGGAGGGAGGGAGGAGGGATGGAGGGAGGGAGGAGGGATGGAGGGAGGGAGGGAGGGAGGGAGGGAGGGAGGGAGGGAGGGAGGGAGGAGGGATGGAGGGATGTATGTGGTAGTAAAGTCAATGGGCTAATAAGATGGCTGAACAGGCACGTTCCTCCAGGCCTGATGAGTTGGGTCCAATCTCCAGGT